CTCCTCCCCTAACTACGCTCCACCCACTTTGTGGCTCCACCCCTTCTTAAACTCCACCCCAAATCATGATCTGACCCCTCTCACAGATGTTCTTGAAAATCCCTGTGTCAGGGATTTGATTTGATTTGATTTGATTTGTCAATCGCTTACAAGGTAACAAATAAATGCTCTGTCTTACATATTGGCAAAAAAAATCAGAAAATAAAATACAAGCTGAATAGTCAAGATCTTGTTGATGACCCAAGCTCTGTAAAGGACCTTGGAATACTCACCTCTAATGATCTAAGTGCTAGAGCCCACTGCAACTACATAGCCAAAAAGGCATTAAGAGTTGTTAACCTAATCCTACGTAGCTTTTTCTCTGGTAATATCACACTACTAACCAGAGCATACAAAACATTTGCTAGACCAATACTCGAATACAGTTCATCAGTCTGGAACCCACATTACGTATCTGATATTAGCACAATTGAGAAAGTCCAGAAATATTTCACAAGAAGAGTTCTCCACTCCTCTACTCGTTGTAGAATACCTTATGCCACCAGACTTGAAATTCTAGAACTAGAAAACCTTGAATTACGCCGTCTTCGGTCTGATTTAAGCATGGTATATAAAATCATACATTGCAATGTCCTACCTGTCAATGAATACTTCAGCTTCAACCATAACAACACAAGAGCACACAATAGATACAAACTCAAAGTTAACCGCACCAAACTCGATTGCAGGAAATACGACTTCAGCAATAGAGTGGTCAATGTCTGGAATACTCTACCCGACTCTGTAGTTTCTTCCCCAAACCCCAAAAACTTTAACCTTAGACTGTCTACTATTGACCTCACCCCTTTCCTAAGAGGCCTGTAGGGGGCGTGCATAAGCGCACCAACGTGCCTACCGTCCCTGTCCTATTGTTTCTCTTATTCTTTTATTTTTCTTATATGTACCCATTTCATGTATTCACAACTATGTATACACTTATACTTATTATCTTGTAAACAATTGGCAAATCAAATAAATAAATAAATAAATAAATAAAATAATAGGTGTAAGTATAAACATGAATAAGAATACAGGAAATAGGTACGAATAAATAGGGACAATAAGACGGGGACGGTTGGCATGATGGTGCACTTATGCACCCCACCCTTACAAACCTCTTAGGAATGGGTATTTCTCCTTCCCTTCCTTCTTTCTTCCTGCTCCCTCCCTTCTTTTCTCTTCTCCCTCCCTGTTCTCCTTCCTTCCCCCTTCCTTTCTTCTTTCCTTCCTTCCTCCCACTCCATCTCTTCTTTCCTCTCATCCCTCCGTTATTTTCTCTCCTTCCTTCCTTCCCCTTCCTTCCTTCTTTCCTTCCTTCCTATATTTTTTATTTTATTTATTTATTTGATTTGTCAATCGCTCACAAGATAATAGGTATAAGTATAAACATGAGTTCCTTTCCTTTCCTTCCTTCCTCCTGCTCCCTCCCTTCTTTTCTCTCCTTCCACCCCCTTCCTTCCTTTTTTAAAAATTTTATCTATTTATTTGATTTGTCAATCGCTTACAAGATAATAGGTATAAGTATAAACATGAGTAAGAATACAGGAAATAGGTACGAATAAATGGGGACAATAGGACAGGGACAGTAGACACGATGGTGCACTTATGCACACCCCTTACAGACCTCTTAGGAATGGGGTGAGGTCAATAGTGGTTAGTTTGAGGTTAAAGGAGTGGGAGGGTTTGAGGATGCAACAACAGAGTCAGGGAGCGCATTCCAGGCATTGACCACTCTGTTGCTGAAGTCGTACTTTCTGCAATCAAGTTTGGAGCGGTTAACATTGAGTTTGTATCTGTTGTGTGCTCTTGTGTTGTTGCGGCTGAAGCTGAAGTAGCCATTGACTGGTAGGACATTGTAGTAGTCAATGACTCAAAAGTCAATGACAGATCCTGCCTGGGGGAATTCTGGGAGTCGAAGTCCACCCATTTCTCCAGTTCTTTTAAGCCAAATTGGAAGCTAAACCTGGCATATTTAACTCAAACATGGATTTATTTCTATCGCTTTGCCGATTCTGATGGAATACACGCGTTTCGATCAGCCAGAGAGTTGGGAAATAGAGATTTTCATAAATACAAGGGGTTTGAAATATTTGGGTTTTGTTTTCCGGGCATAGATACCGCATGCTAAACGAACATTATTGCAACGTTCTGTCTTTGCATCTAGGTTCCTAGATGAGTACGCTAAAAATAATATTACTTTCTGGGCGTTAAGCTCTCAGAATGAACCAAACTCCTTCATTTTGATAATCATTAAAAACTTTCCAGTTAATTTCTTCTCACCGCAACACCAACGCGACTTCATCATTAAGGACTTGGGCCCCGCCCTCGCGGCCAGCTCCCACTCAGATGTTCACCTGATCATCCTGGATGACCAGAGGAATAAGTTGCCAAACTGGGCCAACCAGGTAGGTCTTCGAACTGTAGGATGTATCTACCCTACGACGGGTAGTCCTGGACTTATATGACAAATTGATTCAAGGTCAAGTCGTGTTGCGCATAAGTGAGAGGATGGCCTGTATCAAAGCTCTACTTCCTTCCCTCCGTCCCCCGACAGGTGATTGGCAATAGTACCGCGGCGGCTTACGTATCCGGCATTGGCATCCATTGGTACTCCGATTTGATCACCCCAGCTGGACTTACTCTAGATGTCACCCATCACCTGTACCCCAATTTCTTCCTGCTCTACACAGAAGCTTGCAATGGTGTTATGCACTGGGAAGTGAAGGTTGCTCTGGGAAGCTGGGAAAGAGGCACCTATTACAGCAGAAGTATCCTGTCGGTAAGGGGACCCCCAGGCTACGACCCCCAAATTGATCTCTTTGACAATAAGAGCGGCAGGAATGGACAAGTGACCGAAATACCGTTCTCAGACTTCCAAGGCTGTCATAGAGTCTCTGGGAAGCTCAGCCAGTTAATCAACATTTTGCCATAGAGAAGGGGTGGGCTGGAGCATAACAGTCCACCAACCCCCTGCTCAAGAAGGAAGGAAGGAAGGAAGGAAAAAAGGAAGGAAGGATAACAGAGTTGGAAGATCTTCTCGTCCAACCCCCTGCTCAAGAAGGAGGGGAAAAAGGATGGATGGATGGATGGAAAGAAGGAAGGAAGGAAGGAAGGAGGGATAGCAGAATAACATTTGGAAGGAACGTTGGACGTCTTCTAGTCCAACCCCTGCTCAGGAAGGAAGGTAGGTAGGTAGGTAGGTAGGTAGGTAGGTAGGTAGGTAGGAAGGAAGGAAGGAAGGAAGGAAGGAAGGAAGGAAGGAAGGAAGG